AGGAGTGCCACCAGCCTTTGTTTCTTCTCTTTGGCTTGGCATGTAGAACAAGGAGCGAACATAAAATGCTGGCACTGAAGCAGAGTCTGGTGTGATTGATGTATGCTGTAGATAAAGCCAGGTACCTGCAGAAGACAGGGATGGGCTATGGCATGAATGTATTTTTAAGATAACCATAAAAATATTCCTTTAATGATTTTACATTTCTATACTGCAGTTCCTTTGTGCATTCCTGAACAGTTTGCCAAACTTCAACTGCTGTATCAATTACCTTTGAAAAAGCACTGGGAGCAGAGGCACTGTGTTCTGTGTGCTTCTTGTCCAGAACAGGCCAGCTGCCTTCCCCATCAGTGTTGCAGGAATCTCAGAGTTACATCGCTAAACCAGAGAAGAGATAGGGTAACTTTTTAACTTCAATTACATATGAACAAAAGAAAGATTCAAACCCCAAGATTTTTAGCTCTACCTCAAAAGTAGCTAAGGATATTAAATTCAGGATGTGTTTGGTTTTGGGGGTCAAAAAAGACTTCATTCTTCCCCTGAGATCTGACTTGCTAGTTTTGCAGGTCCAGCCAGGCTTTTTCAGTTGAGGTTTAAATATCTGAAGGTGATGATTCAAAATGGAAACATTGACAGAGTAAGCAACAGTAACATAAAAATATTTATTAAATGTCCCTATGCACAATTCTTTCCAAAGGGCAGCACTGATTTTTCACTAGCTCGCATTAGTCTCCGTTTTCACTTACGCTTATCTGTGAAATCTGTCTCATCACAGGTATGTTAAAAATACTGTCCTGTCAGTTCATCTGATAAAAGGAGACCGATGCTTGTGTTTGTTACATTCATGATGGTGTGACGGCTGTCCCTGGAAACTTCAAATAAGCAGGACAGGCAAAATGGAAAAATCATCTCATAAATTTATAAAGCTCCAGAACAGCACTGCTCTTCATTTTGAACAGACTCCTGTATTTTACATCAAAACAGCTCTGCTGCTGGGTGTCGGATCTTCTAGCTCTTTTTGTGATGGGGTGGTAGATTGCTTATTGTGGGAGCAGTGAATTTTCAGTGACAGGGAGATGAGAGGTCTCGCTTATGGTGAGGTCTCCCAATTTTCATTTGTTTAATATTCATAACAAATTCATCCTCCCTTAATTTCCATCACACAAAACTAGTGTATTTTACTTTGTAGTTTCATTTATCAGCTGTTCAGTTGGTGATAATTAGATTGTATTTTTCATGCTGGGTCCTTTCATTCTTCTCTAGCCTGTTATTATGTGATGTGGTCTTGGCAAGAAACACATTTCCATTCTTTTTCAAAAAAAAACAAACAAACCTGAACACATCTCAGGTCCTGCTAATTAAGAGAATGATCAACTTGTAGGGTTGGAAAAGATAATCAGCACACTTGAACCTGCTGCAAGCAAGAATCATTTTGTGTGAATAACTTTATTAGCGAGTTGGAAAAGATTACATACGTAGTAGCCACAAAAAGATTTTATTTTTTTTAAGCACTGTCCAGATACTCAAGAGTTACAGCCTATGGTATTGGTGATATTTTTTTCCTACAACCTGTAAATCAAAGTGGTTACATTAGCTCCCTATTAGGAAATGGCCTATAGGCAATTATGTAAATACCATACTTCTGGCCTGTCTGTTAATATTAAGACCAGACTGAGGGAATGAGAGAACGGAAAGCAGCCACATCTAAAAACATACCTGAGAAACAGAACTAAGATAGGAGTGCTGCACACTCTGTTCAGAGAGGATGTCTTCTCTTCTTGCAGCGCAGCCATTTCCCTAATGTAGTTGCCTAGGGATGCCTTTGAAGCGCTAGAAGCTGCTGGTGTTCTGTCGAGCGCAGGTAGTCCCGCTGTCCCCGGCTTCTGGCCAGAGCCAGATTCGCCTTGTGCACTGCAGCATCCACCTCAGACAGTGGGCTGCTTCAGCAACATCTCTCGCCTTTTAATACCAAATAATACAAATATTTGGATGCTTCTCAGATTCAAAGGGTTTCTTTGCAATTTATCCAGAATGTGGCTTTTCCCTTCATATGTGAATTTCCTTAACTCTCTTCAGTGTAACTCTCTGAAAATGCTTTCAGAAACAATTGCTGATGATGCATAGGCTTTCTTCCTTTGTTCTTACAAAAGAGGAATTTTTTTAGCCCAATCATCACTGTCTTAAACATGAACATTAGCATATATATATATATTTTAAGCAAAAGCGCTTCATAGGTGAACAGGTAGGGGTTTTAACAGACTTCAAAATAATTCCAAAAATATCCGGCTTGCTTTCTTTTTCAGCCATGTCTTATATGTCATTCTTTAGATGAGTTAACCTATGTTTTTGCTAAGCTTTTATTTTTATCACATTACTTTCCATTTTCTGGTAATAAAAATTCTGTGTATTCTCCAGAGAAAAACTGCAGGCTACACTTTAACTTGCCCTGTTGTAGTGACGCTTTGTGATTTGCGTTATGGTGGTGTTCTGAAGATACTTCACAAATTTCAAACTTTTCCTGCT